TTTCTAAAAAATAGTCCCATCAGAATGTTGACTGGGTTTTTAATAAATGGATACACCAAATTGGGGAAAATTAACATTGTTACAGTATTCAGTCTTGTTTTCCAGAAGCATGGGTGTGTCCCCATCTTTTCAAAACTTAAATTTTTAAGTGCTGAGTATATTTTGTTCTTCTACCTCTCACATTTTAAGTTCTGCTTTTTAAAAAATGATTTCTGCTTTTATTGCTGCCATTTAATTCCTTCTATTTTCTTTCTTTTTTTTTTTAAACATCTATTCATTTTTGAGAGACAGAGCATGAGTGGGAAAGGGGCAGAGAGAGGGGAACACAGAATCTGAAGTAGGCTCCAGGCTCCAAGCTGCAGCACAGAGCCTGATGCAGGGCTTGAACCCATGGAATGGGAGATTATGACCTAAGCTGAAGTCAGATGCTCAACTGACTGAGCCACTAACGTGTCCCTAATTCCTTCTATTTTCTTAAGATTTGTTTTATTCTTACTATTCTCTTTTTTTTTCCACTCCAAATAAGAAAATTGTCTGCATCTATGAGTTGACCTGTTAGTAGAGCTTTGGCTGCCTTCTATTAGACATTAGAAGTGAACTATATAATTGTTTTCCCCTTGTTTTGTAATTATAGTTTTAATATTCTGTTTGATTCAACAGTAGTTTAAGAATGTTTTATTTTATCTTAACTAATTGGGAGTTTAGGTTGATGTCTTCAAACTTTTATTATTTGGGGAAATAGAAGATGTGACCCAAAAATAACACTGAAAATAATATAGGTAGCTAACCTGTACCAAGTGCTTGTGATGTCCCAGACACTATAAAACACTCTGTAAAAACTCATTTACTCCTCACAATACCCACAAAAATTACCTATTATTAATTTCACATTTTTAAAGTTTATTTATTTTTTTGAGAGTGAGCGAGAGAGAGGCAAGGAGGGGCAGAGAGAGAGAGAGAATCCCAAGCAGGCTCTCCACTGTCAGTGAGGAGCCTGATGCGGGGTTCGAGTTCATGAACCAGGGGATCATGACCTGAGCCAAAACCAAGTGTCAGAGCTGAACTGACTGAGCCACCCAAGCACACCTTAATATTCACATTTTTACAGATTAAGGAACCAAGGTTAATAAGCCAGAATATGACCCCAGAGTTTCTGCAGTGTGTTTTCAATCCTCACAATAATTTTCACTCCTTTGAATTTGTCAATGTTCTTAGGGCTTTGAGAGTCCCCCTGTGGGGCTTTTCCTCATTGTCCTCTTACTGCTGTCTGTGTCTCTGCCAAACTGTGAGCTGCAGGAAGGCAGAGGTCTGTCCTCTCTCTGTGTCCTCTAGATCCAGTGCCGTGACCAGGAGCAGGGAGGACGCTAGTTGACCTGAGGGGTAGAGGGACTAGGAAATGGCTCTATGGGTGGGATCCTGCTGTGTTTGCAGAAAGACAACAGAATTGCTTTTGTAAGGATGAGCTGAAAAGCTCCAAATGTCCACCACCTTCAGAGGTCTCCCAGACTCCTTTGCTACCCCCTCTAAAATTTTCCACCTTAGTGTCCTTTGTTGAAGTCTTAGTTCTAGAAGGATAAAGTTTAACTGCACGTATGTTTTCTGGCATAGAGAACCTATTAGTGTGCATTATTATAATGGCACAGATATAAAGAACTATTAATAAATGTCTTATACATTTGTAGAGCACCTTGATTTATAAGTGATGTCAGTTCCTTGAGGATTTGAACTGTCTTTACACATATTTTTTTTTTTTGCTTTTTCCATCCCAAGAGAGTTCCTCAACATAGTAAGTGCTCAATTAAAGCATGTTAGATACATAAGTGGATAACTTCCATATATGTTATCTCATTAAATGCTCATCTACAAAACCCAAAGGCAGGAGAGACCCTGACTACAAGCCTTCTGATGTCATTTATCTAAGGGAATGGGCTGTCGAGAGCCAGAGGAGATGACCCCAGATGCATACTTGTCTGATGGGTATGCATGTTTACTCACAAACTGGGGCTGGCAGGAATCAACTTTGTGAAGAGGGAAGGCAATGATGAATTTACCTGAGCCTGAAATAGGTACTGAGATACCTTCTGAATCCTGCCGATTCAGCAAGGGGTTAATGAAAGCTTTCAGGCAAGCTAGATAATTAACAGGATTAAATCTCTACCTGTCAATTAAGCCAATATATTTGAGTATAATGCTATTTAATTCTATACCAGGAACAGTGCAATAAATCAAAGTTTACAGATGTCTTCAGCAAGCCCTTGATGGATGAAACACTGTAACTCAGAGGTGCATAGAAAATCTCAAATAAGATAACCTCCCATGTGATTAATATAGCTGTCTGCATTGCCATTGGCTCCAGAAGGTTCTAATCCAAACATGTTTAACATCACATACTTTATTGTGACAGCTTTAGACACCTGAACTAACTAACCAGGCAAATGGTGCTTAATTATACTGACTCATTATGGACCTCAGCAATAAAGCTGGGACACAGAATTATGTGTTAATTCCCATCTCACAGTCACATACAACATAAGCAGCTCAGGGTCCAGAGGGCTTTACAGGTCTGGTGCACAAAGCACAGGGTAGAGGAGCAATCTAATTCCTCCAAGGAATGCTTTTCTTCCCTCTGTTCAGTGGTGCTTGTCTGTATGCATTGTTCAGACTGACTGGCCAGCAAATGCCTATCGCTGATCACAAGGGGAAAGAGGCAATGTCTCTGTGAACATCTCCCCATTTATAAAACCAAAAAAGAACTGAGACGCAAGTCTTTTTTCATACAGAAAGGATAGTATCTACAAAAGTACAAGTATGTGTACTCCAAGAGTGGAGCTCTTGTTTAAGAGGCTAAACCAGGGACGCCTGCGTGGCTTAGTCAGTTAAGCGTCCGACTTTCGCTTAGGTCATGATCTCGCAGTTTGTGGGTTCGAGCCCCACATCGGGCTCTGTGCTGACTGCCAGCTCAGAGCCTGGAGCCTATTTTAGAGTCTGTGTCTCCCTCTCTCTCTGACCCTCCCCTGCTCACTCTGTCTCTCTCTCTCTCCTAGAAATAAATTTAAAAATATATATTAAAAAAAAAAAAGAGGCTAAACCAAGTTCTTCTCAACCCTCTGTACTGACTCTGGAATGCAATTCCAAAAGCATGACATTGTAAACAGGTACCCAAATTTAAGTTATTAGAAGTGAGCTCAAAACTTCCAGACATAAAATTCAACTCCCACGGAGGTCTCATGGAGGGACCTCTCCATGTCATGAGTCAAAATGTGCTCAATTAGTACAAATTTTTCCTGGTCCCCCTCTGGGCTAATGTCACAGTGTAACCATAGGGAGTGGGTCTCTGTTATTGCTTGCTGATTGACTGAAAGATCAATGAAGTAGAGATGGTATCAGACAAAAATGAAGCAAAACAATGATCTCCACTCTCAAGACCTACTTCATTTATTTGGTGGAGAACAGCTTAACACATACTAAGAATCACAGTTATGATGTCGATTATACATGAAATCAGAATTCAGTGAGGAGAGACTAGCATGGGCTGGAGGTAGCCAAGAAAGCCTTTGTGAAGATGGTGTAGTTTGAGACAAATGTTCAAGGGATTTGGACAGGCAGAGAAGAGGGAGTAAGATATTCAAGATGGGAGAAAAGACACAGAACTATGGAAGCAGGAGTCGATATGTTGATCCAGAGAGGGGAGTGACTTAAAGAGAGGGGGATGCCTTACTTATCTAATTTTAACATAGTATCTATCATATGTTATAACCCATATGTGGAACTTGAGAAACCTAACAGAAGACCATGACAGAGGGAAGGGAAAAAAGATAGTTACAGAGAGGGAGGGATGCAAACCATAAGAGACTCTTAAAAACAGAGACCAAACTGAAGGTTGATGGGGGAGAGGGGAAAATGGGTGATGGGCATTGAGGAGGGCACTTGTTGGGATGAGCAATGGATGTTGTATGTAAGCGATGAGTCATGGACATCTACCCCCAAAATCAAGAGCACACTGTCCACACTGTATGTTAGCCAATTTGACAATATATTTTAAAAATTAAACATAAATAAAGAGAGGGAGCTGCCTAGCAGTAGTGGATGGGATTGGTATAACAAAACAGCTCAGAAAAAAACCACCCAGAGACATCTGAACCAAAGAACAATGACATGAGAGAGAGATTAAACAGAACTGCACAAAGATGTCTCGTACGAGAAGAGGATTTTAAGAAACTTCCTCAAGCAGGAGCATGCAGAGTGGACTGAAGAAAACCAAGATGAGCTGGAGGAGGCAGATGAGAAGTTATTGCAAAATCTACAAATAAAAGTGTGAGCATCTGTAGCATCTGTAACACCATAACATGTGGTAGTGATAGAAGAATCAAGACAAAAGGAATCAACTCAGGAGAACCAAAGGGAAGAAAATGCTCTGGAATGTCTACTTTTGCATAGTAGAAATAGAGATCATGTCTGTGATAGACTGTCCAACATCCATTCCACCCAAACACTCATCATCTTACACCTGCTGTCATGGTTCGAAGTCAGTGCTGACCATTTTGTCCTCCTCACCAGTGATGGCTGCAGGATTGGGCATGTGACCACTTCTGGCAAATGGGAAGAGGCTGGTGGAAAATATTTCCTCTCTTAATTGAGAAACACAGGATAAGATGATCTATCTTCTCCCTTTGAACGTTGTCCTGTGTGGGTGTGATGTCTGCAACTGATACACTGCCTCACTATCAGCTTTGGAAAATAATCTGAATCTTTGATAACATAAGCGAGCTGCTGAAGGAGCTAACCCATACACCCTCCAGACTTTTGATAATGTGAGATAATTCACATCCTTATCATTTCAACTAGTTTGGATTGGGGGCTTTTGCTATTTGTAGCCAAAAACATCCAAACTGATCTACAGTTGTATCTTCTCAGTAGAAAACCTCTGTAATGCATTCTACAGTGAAAAGATAAGGGAAGAAAGAAGGGGGGTGAGCAGTAATTCAAAAGTTACAACATGGTTTAAGTGAAGACTTGTCTTTAAGTCTTATTTCATGAGTCTGTTGCTAACCAAAACAAAAGAATTTAATTGTGGCACAACAAACTGAAATTCTTTGTTTTCCAGAGTTGCCAGAATTGGTATTTTCTTTCCATTTCCATCAATAGAGGTGCCACTAACTCCTATAGGGATTTGTGTCTTCTCCCTTGCCTTGTGTGAACAGTTATTAGTGATGGCAATAGTTATGGTTATTCCTTCAGCATGTTCTGGGATGGTGGCTAGGAGTTTAACTTCTAGTTCACTGCGTGATTCCAGTTTGTTTTGAGGTTGACCAAAGCTATAGCTAACTAACAGCACACAGTGTACCAGTTAGGATAAGCTAGATGATGCTCTAGGAACAATCCAAATATCTCAGGTTCACTTTGGATCTGGAAAACTCTCCAGGCAGCTGTTCTTCATGTGGTGGCTAAATGGTACCAGGTACCTCACTCTTGTGAGCCTCTCAACAGAGACTTCCATGATCACCATGGCAGAAGAGAAGGCTGGAGGTTCTCACCACAGCAAGTAGATGTTCAGCCCTGAAGGACGCCCCACTTGCAGCCCATTGGCCATCACTTGTCACAGGATCAGCCTACCTGCAAGGGTACAGGGAATTGCAGCCCACCTATGTGCCTGTAGGTATGAGTGAATACCAGAGTCTCTGTCACACATACTAACACATTTTAAGTTCGGAAGGAAATTACCCCGCCCTGCTGGTGAGTCTGATGAGAAGTGCAAGACATTAAATGGTCCTTAAAAAAACATGAATTGGAGATCCAAACAACTCCAATGAGGTGGTTCTTGGTGGAACCGCCTTGTAGTTATTAAGTCCCCTAGCTTGAACAATTGTCCACCTTGACCATTGTCCTCCCTGTGGCTCCTAAAGTTCCTTGAGCTCACTACCTTGTAAGGAAAATAAAATCAGGGAAACCAAAAAGTTAAGATGGAACTAGATCAAGTGTGAGTGGAGAAGATATTGGGAATAAATACTTAAGGACATCAGATATCGGACTTCAAAACGCTGTATGGGGCGCCTGTGTAGCTCAGTTGGTTAAGCATCGGACTCTTAATTTTGGCTCAGGTCATGATCTCACAGTTTGTGAGATAGAGCCCGTGTCAGTCTCTGCACTGACAGTGCAGAGCTTGCTTGGTATTCTCTCTTTCCCTATCTCTCTGTCTCTCCGCTGCTTGTGTGCACTTGCTCTCTCTCTCTGTTTATCTAAAAATAAACTTAAAAAAAAAAAAGCTGTATGACATGCGAAATCTAGGCAGGCACTGCTCCAGATTCTCCTATTAACAAAGTGTGAAACATGGTCAGTTGCTTTGTGAGTGGACATAGTGTAATGCGGTAGATTTCCCCCAAATTGCTCAGTATTTGGAACAAAGGAGCTGTTCAGGAAAAGTCAGCTTCCAGTCCAATGGGCTTAACAGTAGCAGGAGAGCTTCTCTAACCAAAATCTCAAGATAACAGCCCTCACAAACATCATTACTACTTGATACTTATCAACATCACATTTAACCCAAATCTTTGCATTTCCCTGGTAATCTTTCTTTTATGTTGTTAATACAAATAGAGAATAATAGCAGTTCTGAAATTTGGGAGATTTCACTTTTTACACTCCCCCCAGAGTCCAAGGGAAATGTTGCTCAGATAGGAGTATGTGAATGGGCAAGATGGGAGAAGAGGGGGGATTTCTCTGCCCACACCGCCACTACATTTCCACTTCTGATCTCTTTCTGCTCTTCTTATTAGCTTCTCTTCCCCAAGGATTGATTGATCAGAGAATAGGACATTCACTGAATGCATATGGGCAGAGATTAGGATATCTGCATCTAAAGTCAGTAACCTGGACTCCACTTTCTTTCCTGATTCTTGGGGGTGCAGCCAACCATCAGAAAAGTGAAAAGTGGGCCAAAAAAGAGGCTGAGCATGATCCGTTCTCCCAGTGCAAGCAGCTAGCATCTGCAGAATAGGAAGTCGACCAAAAACTCCTGAAACAAACAAAAACTCCAAGAGACGTCTCTTCTGTATTTAGGGAAAGCTAATCTGATGAATAAGTTGCAAGGATCTAAAGTAGTGCCTACCACTTAATAGATGCTCACTAAACATTTTTGAACAAATAACTGAGTAGGTTAATTGGATTTGTGTCTAATAATTGTTTTTCTTTCATAATTAAAATAGGCTGTCTGAATCCCAGTCACTCTCCTACTTGCTTTATCGTCTAGGGCAAATTATTGAGCCTCTCTGAGATTAGTTTTCTCATCTATCAAATGGAAATTATGAGAGTACTCTGTAGTATTGTCGAGAGGTCCAAGTGAGATAAAGTGTATAAAACTCCTGATAACCATAATAATTATCCTATGATAATAAACCTTAAATGCTCTCTCTCCCTTCTCTTTCCATAATGAATAGATTTGACTGAAGCATTTTTTTTGGTAAGTCATTTCAGAGCTCCTAATAACTGCTGAGCACTACTGTCATATTAGTAGCTGTGAGTTTTCTCCAGTCCCTTTGCATCTGGAACTTCAGTTCTGTCATTGGCCATCTGGTAAACTGAGTCAGTTTCCATCTCTGAGCTGTATTTTCCAGGTTTTATTAGACAAAAGAATCCCAGGAAGAGAACTAGTCTTGTTTTTATTTTCATTTTTATTTATTATTTTTGGGTAGGCAGTATATGGAGTTAAATATCAAAATGAATAAAATGCCATACATTGAACAGGCTCACTCTCTCCCTGTCCTCACTCACCCCCTTCCTGAGCTTCGAGCCCTTTCTGGTATTTATTTTTATTATTTTCTTATAAATTTGGTGTGTTCCTTTCCATATACAAAAGGTAGCATGCTTTATAAAGTGCTCTAAATCTTGCTTTTATCACCTAACAATGCATCCTAAGGCTCTTCCATATTAAAACATACGGAATTTCTAGATGTTCTTTTTCTTTCTTTCTTTCTTTCATTCTTTCTTTCTTTCTTTCATCCTTCCTTTCTTTCTTTCTTTCTTTCTTTCTTTCTTTCTTTCTTTCTTTCTTTCTTTCTTTCTTTCTTTCTTCCTTTCTTTCTGTAAAAGCTGCATGGGATTCCATTGTGCACATATACCATGGTTTAATTAATCAATACCCTATTGGAAGCACTTATGTTGTTTCCAATCTCTTTTTATTATCAACAATAGTGCAATAAGTAATTTCATACTTACATATTTTGTGTGTGGAGAGAATCAGGAGAATAAATTCTCAGAAGTGGTTTTGCTAGCCCTAAAGTAAATATATTTATCATTTTGATAGATATTGCCAACTTGGTCTTTACATGAATTCTACCATTTTCTCCTCCCAGCAATGATGTCTAAAAGGGTGAAACAAGCATGTTTAAAGCCATTTAACAAAGAGTAAATGAAGATAAATAATGAAAGCAAGCAGGGGCACCTGGGTGGCTCAGTCAGTTAAGCAACCTACTCTTGGTTTTGACTCAGGTCATGATCTCACGGTCTGTGGGTTTGAGCCCCAAGTTGGGCTCCATGCTGACAGTGTCGAGCCTGCTTGGAATTCTCTCTCTTTCCCTCCCTATTCTCCCCTCCCCTGCTTTCTCACTGTCTCTCAAAATAAATAAATGAACTTAAAAAAAAATTAAAGACTATCTTTGGGGGACCTGAGCAGCTCAGTCGGTTAAGCATCTGACTTTGGCTCAGGTTGTGATCTCATGGTTCACAAGTTTGAGCCCCATGTCAGGCTCTGTGCTAACACCTCAGAGCCTGGAGCCTGCTTCAGATTCTGTCTCTGTCTCTCTCTGCCCCTCCCCTGCTCATCCACTCTCTCTAAAATATAAACATTAAAAAAAAAGACTATCTTAAAAAATAATAATAATGAAAGCAAGCAGATCTATGGGTAGAGAGCCCCCAAGAACAGTGGTGCCCTCAGCGACTTGGGATCCTACTTCCTTCTCTTTCTCTAAGAGATAAAACAAAACTAGCCATGACAATCAGATGAGACAAGGCACTATGGAGTCTGTATATGGTGCAAATATTACTGTGGGACAAAAATGAAGAATCAGTGGAGAGCCATGCTTCATCGCCTACAAGCTCCACTTCCCCTGCCCCTTAACACCTTCTTGTTCTCTTAGAGCTTTCCTCAAGTTCCACACCAGAGGAACCTGCTGAGGAAATGGGCATAACCATGATGGCATCTTGACACACACAGGTTTGTGAATGATCCACAGTTTTTAATGTTCGAGTGTGGAGTTGAGGTGAGCCCTGGGAGAACTCCTCTCTTCTTCCCCAACCTGATAACTTCCTAAGTGAAGGAGAGCTGGGTGGTCCTCAGCCTGAGGACCTGGAAGTGTATAAGAGTCCAGCTTGCCCTGGTCTCAATCCAAAATGAGCAGCCAGCTGGTTGGAATTTCTGTCATCTGGGGTTAGCATGGGGCTCTACTTGACTTCCAATCTGGAGAGTTTCTTTAAAATCTGAGTCTGCCTTGTAGAGTACTGAATATGAATCTTTCCCATTTGGCTTGTCTCAGTACCAGTGGCTAATCCCCTGTGTTAGGGTACAGTGGAGGCTTCTCCAACAAGAAAACCAATGTGCAGTGGACTTAATTGTGAAGGAGTGTGTTTCTTTGTGACTGCTAAGTCCAGAGTAGGGTGTCCTGCCCAGAGAGGCAGATCAGTCCCATCCACTTCCTCCCTACTTGCAGCCCACTATCTGGTAGGGCCCTGGGTCTGAATAACCAAAGCTGGGCCACCCCACCCAACTTGCTGCTGGCGGAAATCTAGGAAAAGTAATTTTCCTTTAAGCAACGATTGCAAATCTGGGGGGACGAATTGCTGTCTCCACACCCACCACAGCCAATTCTTCCCCATTCCCTTCTCCTTGGTAATTCCACACCAAGGGTCAACACTATCGGTCTAGGAATAGAAGGAAGCCAGAGTATCAGGGGCAGGTACATTAGCATCAAGGCAGGATGTGGCATTCACAGCAACCAGCTGTTTTCAATGTGCCAGTGAGAACAGAACATAAAATATAGACTTAAAATTCAGTACTGAGACACACAATTGATATAAGAAAGGTCTGTCTAGTGGAGAGGTTAAAACATGCAAGCTGGGACATTGAGAAAGACTTAGAATTGTCATTCCGGCAGGCCTTCAGATCGTGATCGTTTCTGCTTAGAAACCAGAAGCTGAGCAAGGTGAACCCTTGAACTCCTTCCAGATTTATGATTCTTATTATTGTAGTTCCTAACGGGCTTGCCATCTCCCCATACCCCTCCCCCAAAATATCAACTAAAAAAAAAAAAAAAACACTCCGTGTGAAAAGAAAACCTATCTCAGGAAAAAAAATCAATTCCTAGAGAATTTTACCTTCATGTTAAGAGATTTTGTTCCTTTTATTTTTCTGACTTAGACTATTTGCATGGAAGTGGAATCATGGTTCAGCTCATTCGCTGGTGCTATTTCTCTTTCTGTTCATATTCTTGTCTGCTCTGTGACATGACAGTCAGTTGCTGTGGAGATGACTACATGTGTCAAGAACAGAGAATTTCATAATTTCAGGTGCAGGATGACTTGCTACATCCTTGGCTGATAGTTTCTGTGATCATTTCAGCTCCTCGGCTGCCCTTGTAAGAGCAGGAAAGATTGCCTGTTGGAAAGAATTCTTCTGATTAATGTTTTAAAAACTTATTTCTTTTCTTACTCTCAACTCACAGATTGGTGCCCAGCTAATATCACTGTCACTTTACAGTTGTGGCAATTCCAAATGTCAACAGAAGACTGGCCCCTGGTTCTCAGTCTTGCAGAAAATAAAATGAGGATATGCATTCAGGAACAAAACATAACAGTTTCCCAAAGGCTATGAGTTAACTGACATCTGGCAGAAGCCTAGAAGATAACTTATGTCAAGGCTCTGGGTAGATCTCTATCTTCTCCCAAAACATATTTCTCAATATTATGAAATTTCATAATTAAAAATTCCTTCCTTGGACACCTACTGAGAGACAAATGCTACTGTGAGCTTCTGCCCCCACTCAGTTACCTGGAAAGGATACAAAGGGCAGGGGCTCTGGGGAGGTGGAGTGGGAAGGGAGGCCACATGAAGCACAGGAAGAGGGAGAAGGAGGAAGCTGGGGATACAGGAACCAAGGTCCCTTTCTAAGAGTTTCCTTGAAGGCAGGAAGAACAATGGCAGAAGCTGATGACACCCACATGTCTCTCCTCGGCACACCTAAAGTCACCTGCAGCTCAGTGGGATGTTCCCATACAGGGTGATGGCTAAGCCAGCCAGGCATCTGTCTCTTCTGAAGGTTTTCTCTGGGACACTAGGAACACACAAAACTTATTCCTGGGGAAGCCAGAAGTGCCCCGGAATTAGAGTCCAGGAGCAAACTTCAAGCCAGTAAGATGGAATTGGATGAATCAAAACTTCAGCTTCCTAATGCCAAAAGTCTTACTCATGGCTACATCGCTATTCATTGTCACCTTCACTGGAGTGCTTTCATTCTGTTTGATAAATGCATGTTTGTTCCCAGCTCTATTTTCAGATGCTCACCTGTTTGGCAAGGGTTGAACTTGCATCTCGGGCTAAATGTGAGGGTATTTGTGAAGTTTGAATAAAATTCCTCTTACTCATTCCCAGTTAAGCATGAAGAAAAAGTGATTATATGTTTAAAAACTGAAATTGTTCATTTTGTGATAAATGATCGATTCCAAGAAAAAAGAACACTTTGGTGTTCCTCAAGTCTCTCTGCAGACCCCGTGGGTCCAAGTGAAAACACGCCTGCCTTGGCTTTCCCTCCACCCATCTCATTTTCACATTTGCTCACCATGCTTCCTGAGATCACTTCCTGAATAAACTACTTGTACCCAATTCCTCACTCAGAGTGTGCTTTAGAGAACTCAGACCACAACAGCATGTCTTCTCATTCACCCCATGCCACTCACATGCTTACAAGTCCCTGCAGAGAAACATCTGTGTCAGACACGCCCTTTCTCTGCTGTCCCCTGATGCCCATCCAGACCTACGTCCACATCTTTCGTCATAGTCTTGGCCTCACTGGAAGAACCATTCCTGGCCTCTCTCCCTGCCTAAGTTCTTCAAGTCTCTTGATGCCAGTCCTTGATGTTTCTGACAAGGTGATTTGCCAACATTGTAAACTCCTGGTGGGTTCATATCATCTACTTTTCCTCATGACTATTTCTCTGTTTAATTGCCTCATTAGGTACAAGTCTGTGCCAATGATCCTATCAGAAAGTGCAAGAAAGAAATCCACCCTCGAGTTAACCTGATGACCAATGGCCCCTCTATCACCTCAAATGACAAACGCTGGTAACAAAGACACCCGCACAGATAAGCATGATTAAAACCAGGGGATCATGCAAGGGGTGTGCGTAACTCTCTTAGAGGAAGCAGTAGTGGGTTCTTAGTTTCTATCTTAATGAAAAATTGTAAATTTTACACTTTTGCAGAGCAAATAGAATTGTGACTTATGCTTCAAAGTTTATGTAATTGATTGCTTGGATTTTTGACAGTTCCATCATGCTTTCAACAAATACCTCTTTCCTCCCTAGGAAGCTGGTCATATGGTGTAGGACAGGGTAGTTCAGGGAGCCCTGATTATTTTCCTTTCTTTCAATTGCAAGGCAATTACTGCTTAAATCATTTATTTGGCACTTAGCTGAAGCCACCTTGCATTTTTAATTCCTTCTTCTACCCACAAAAGCCCAGCTTCCCCTGGCAGGCATCTTGCCTTGTACCTCTCCTAGGATCTGATAATTGCCAGGCATCTAAAAATAGAAAAATAAAGTTTTCTCATTATTGATGAGAATGTTGACACTTTCTGAAATGTATTATAAAATCCTCTGCCTTCTTGAAGAGGGAGATGCTGACAGAACTGATTGTCAGCAAGTGCACCATGCACCATTGTGGGTCTACCCTGAGTTTCCGTTTTCTGCCTTCTTCCTCAGCATCATTAGCCATTAGCCAGCTCTCCCACCCTGTGGCACCCACCTCAAATGCCTCCCCCTTCCACACTCCAAGCCCCTTCCCAGCTCCCAGATTACAATCTGCTACAGTTTAGGAATCCAACCTCCCAGGTGGGATTTGGCTTGGAGGGGAGAGGGCTCCACGCATCTGCCCTTTGTTTAGTAGTGCTGTATGTTCATATAAATGGACATGTCCAGTGCTCATAGAGCATTCCCTGCCTATTCTCAGGCTGGAACTGTCAGTTGCAAAAGGCCGACATCCCTGTGTACACAGGGTCTTGGGCAAGTCTGAGCACTGCCTGGTCAGTGTTAAATGATGCAGAGAAATGAATCACTGATGCCCTAAACCCACCATGAAAACCTTCCGTGCACAGCTGTGACTCATGCAATTCTACTCCCAGGTTTCCAGACCTGGAAAATTAGAAGACATCTCACTTCTTCAGAATTCAGAAACACTTGTGATCACCATCAGCTTTGCCCACACAGGATGACCTTCCTCAGCGCCCCCTCTATTAACTTTGCTTTGTCCTGTGGCCTGAAACCCTCACCCCTTGCAGGCAAAGACAGGCAGCCATCCTGGATCTACCACGGAAACTGGCCAACCTGTGTCCTACACGAGGTGATCGAGTAGTGTTAAAATTTACTTCTGATGGAAGACAATGACAACAGCAACATGCATTAAGATGTTTGCTATCTCTTTCTTGTCTACAAATGAATCCTATTTGTTGTATAGACAACCTGCCATTGCACACAAATAAAGAGCTCCATCTAACTGAACAACTGTGTTTGTAATACGAGATCTTGGGAAATTTGAGTTAGATCGTTAGTAGACAGCAGGCTTTTCAATTTGAATGGACTTGGTCATCACAACCCGTCATACACATGTCCCCTACCACAGAATTAAAACCCTACCAACAAAGCTTCCTCTGAAGTAGATTTTCCATCCACTTTGATGGAAAATCCCAGGAAAGGTCTATTTTCATGGATATGTTAAGCGTTGTGCATGCCCAATCAGATGCAATCTGAGGACTCTGTGCTGGTAGTGAATGTTGGTGGAAAGTTTCCGCAGTTGAATGAAGTCACCTAAAGAATGCTCCATATTGGTAATGGCTCAGCCATTGTTGGAAAACAGCAATGAAACCAGAAATTCCTGAAAAAATTCACCAGCTTTTTGGTAGTCAAAAAAGGCTTTGCAGACATAACAGATACTTTACAAATTCACTGTCAGGCCAAGGTCTACCTGGGGATCCCATGACTACAAGACTAGCCAACAGGCAATATGACAACTCAAATATCCTTTGTGTAGACAAAGATGAGGCCAACTATGTCTCGTTGGGGCCAGAGGCTTTACTCACCTTTGTTTAGTCTCACAATCACCCTGCGTAGGTTCTGGAGTAGGTATTTCTTACTTCCTCTTTGTAAATGAGTCTCAGAAGATTAAAACAATCTGCCTAAGGTCATCCAGCTAGTAAGAATCAGGGCCAGCATTAAAACCTATGACTTTTCCGCTGAAACTATATACATGTTCTGAGGAAGATGTCTGTGCAGAAATTAATCTTTGGGTGATATAAATTCTCCTCCAGGGTTGATATTAAAAATATTTAGGAGCCCCTGGGTGGCTCAGTCGGTTAAGCGTCCAACTTTGGCTCAGGTCATGATTTCACAGTCCATGGGTTCAAGCCCCACGTTCGGCTCTGTGCTGACAGCTCAGAGCCTGGAGTCTGCTTCAGATTCTGTGTCTCCCTCTCTCTCTGCCCCACCCCTGCTTGTACTCTGTTTCTCTCTGGCTCTCAAAAATAAATAAACATTAAAAAATATATATTTAGCCAAGCAGATGCCAGGGCATTGACCAATTGGAAGGAAGTCAGAAATTAATGTGTACAACCGTATGGGTGCATGTCTGTTGCATATCTGCCCCTCCAAATTAGTCCATAAATGAGACTCAGAAAAGTGCATGGATGGTCATTGTCATCAAAATATTTTATTCCAAATAATATTTTTGATGATAAATGTAGATTGTATAAAACTGTATTTAAAAGTATAAAGGAAAATATAAAAATTTCATGTAATTCACACATGTACTCCTGCCCTAGGCCTTGCCTTTTTTACTTATAAATATATTTCCACGTCAGTGAAAGAATCTCTGGTGACTTTATACTGATAGCTGCTTACTATTTCATTTTAGAGATAATTGATTTAATCCCCTTATTGTAAATTTTGAAGATTTCAAAGTTTTCACTTATGTAAATAATGTGTTGATAAATATCTTTGTGCCTGATAAATATCTGTTTACCTTTTAGTGTATGTCCTTAGGAAAATTCTTAGAACAATTACTGGTAAAGATGATCACTGAACCACCTAATATTACAAACCTAGACTCTTACAAGTTGGATGTTATCTCAACTCACCTCCTCAATGGAGAAAATTGCCCTTCCATTGAATACAGCTATGCCAATACTAATAGTTATCATCATTATTATAGTTATTGGCTTTATGTGATCTCTCACCTGGGACCTGATCACATTGTGTCACATCCCTGCTGACTCTCTCCCCCTCAATGGCTTCCCCACTGCTGTTAAGATAAAATTCAATCCTCT